TGTTCGCAGATTTTTCTTGTCTTCTTCCATTTCTGGGTTCGCGTTATAGCTGTGTTTGCTGTTAACATCAGAACATTTAAGGTACGGTACATTAATTATGTTACATTATCAGATGCTCTGTATTTCTGTATTAAACCATCTAAGACGACGAGGAAGAGTGCACGGGCAGAACGAGGAATATAAGAAACAATACCCGAGATTTTCAATAAAGCACTTTCTTGTGGCAGATAGTTCGAGCCTACGTACAGTGCTCCACATCTATGTTAAGAGTTGTATTGACGGCCTCCTCCGTTTTTAACTTGGTCATCTAGTTAATTGCACCCACTCTAGAGGTTTCTATGGAGCAGTTCATGTCTGCGAATCGATATTTAGCGTTATTTTCCTACGCATTTAGCAGAAGTTTACGCTCAAGACATTGATAACTGTGCATCAGACTAGACAATCGTTGCTATGCCCTAATCATAAGCTGATGGGCATATTCCAGACCCTCGGCTAGGATTTTATGCCCTATCTGGACACCCTTACACTTATAGTGAAGCGTTGCGTACTATAATACTAGAAAATGGAAGCGACTATATTTGGCGACAGCACTGACAGCTTATTATTTTCTCTTGGACTCTTGCTCTTCTTATTTACCACTATACTTATATCATATTACGGAGCTGTGGGATAATAGTCGGTTTAATTTCTATAGGATACTACAATCAAGCTAGGGAAACGGCTACTCGTCTTCCGCCGAACCTTACCAGAAGAAGACGCGATCACCAGAACTAGAATGTCGTTTTCCTAATGTTTCGGATTCTGTTGAGAATCCTTAATCATAGGTAACTGTAGAATGGTGTGAGACTTGCACAGATCCTCTGTGGCAATCTGTGCATGTACCAAACTTAACATCTTCATTAGTTTGTGCTTTGTAGGTTCAAGCCATTTTCGTTGCAGCTTGCGAAATTAAAACTTCCTCGATTACTAGGTCTTTTATTCGTACGAACCGTCTCAGGAGAATAGTTTCTATGCTTTTGACGTTTTTGTGCTTCAGTTGATCCCACTACTGCTCTGACGTTTTAATTTAAAGACCTTTTATTGCGTTGCTCCTGTCCTTTAAGTCCGATTTCGCTCGTCACCTACGGAGTAACCGCCTTTCACTAACTAATAAAACTCCATTCGGAAGTTGGGTTTTATCAAGTCCTTTTTAACAAAGAAGGCGCTGTGCTGTTAATCGAGGTCCTGGTGTAAGAGTCGCCTTTATCTGTGTCAATGTAGGAGATATCTTCCGATATCTGCGGATTAGTGCATCAACCGTCCAGCTTGGCAAAAGCGTAGAAGAATTAACACCGCTTCATGGACTCCATAGTAAACCTGTAAATCTGCTGATAAACCTTACCCTTCGAATTTTCACATTTCAAAGAAGTCGTTAACATAATTGTAGGCGACTACTCGCTTGTTTCAAGTGATACAATCACGTGACGATGTCAGTCAACAAGAGCCAACAGGTGTAACTGAGCAAAAAGAGCAGACATGGAAAAAATTCCTAAGGCATGGCTCATAATTCAAAATGGAATGTTATTTGTGATTTTTAAGAGAACAACTGTCGCTCGTGGGAGAAAGTGTGTAAAAGATAGGACCAGCATGCTGCTGTGAATGTTGGCGGCAGCCAGGAGGTCCATGACGAGTAATATCTATATCCGAAGGGCCACACGAGGAGGAGACGTCAGAGTCACGAGAAAATCCCCAAGAACCGGAGATGCGACCATGATACGCCCCTGCTGTGTGAAAGCTGCCAAGCTGAGCCTTTGATCAGTAAAAGGCGTCCCTCTTGACTAGCGGCTAATAGCTCCAATGAATTTATTTTCAAATGTCTGAGGAACGGGTTATTTGAAAGTTGGTACTATAAACGATACTATGGCTCAAGTATTTGCTGCTGAAAGGGTTTCTGTTTTTCCGCCTCCATGTTGTCTGGATCGCCACAATAGCCTATGTGTATCCGTCATCCACTAATCGTAAGTTTGTAAGAACTGACTTTTGCGGTCAGAATATGAGCTACTGTTGGCGATTTTCGTTTACCGTTGCCTGACGAGCTGCCCAATAAATTAACATATCTTTCTTGAGCGATTCAATGCACCCTCTTCCCGGTAATCTTTTTGGTTTATCCGAGGACATCCAAAGAAGGTAGCGAGGTGATTTTAAGCACATTACTTTAACGCCTCATTAATTTGGTTCTGTTGCCAACATCGGCGTATCACCAGTGTGATGTGGTCGATTAACAACTCGGCTTCATATGGGACATT